TTGACAAAATATGCCAATATGGAAAAAAGTAGCAAAGTTTTGGGAAAAAGTTATTTGTTCAGCTTATGTAAGATTTTGTACATTGGTTTTCTTTGCCTTTTGTGAAAATTAGTGTTCCTATTTATAGTATTGATGAAATATTCATAAAAATGACATTATAAGAATCCTAAAAGTCTGAGAATATATTCAGTTTCCTAAAGACAAATGTAAAGTAAATGTAAAGTGTCTTTATTCTTTCTACGTACTAGTGTTTCCAGTAGTCTGGTATCTTTTCTGTTATCCGTATACTTCAGTCCATCATACATACTCACATTTAAATGCTTATTATGTGTTTCAGGGTGTTGATGATGCCTTCTATACATTAGTTCGAGAAATTCGAAAACATAAAGAAAAGATGAGCAAAGATGGTAAAAAGAAGAAAAAGAAGTCAAAGACAAAGTGTATAATTATGTAAATACAATTTGTACTTTTTTCTTAAGGCATACTTAAGTAAAAGTGGTAATTTTTGTACATTACACTAAATTATTAGCATTTGTTTTAGCATTACCTAATTTTCTGCTCCATCCAAACTGTTAGCTTTTATCTTGAATGCTTATTTTAAAATGACAGTGGAAACTTTTTCCTCTAAGTGCCAGTATTCCCTGAGTTTTGGTTTTGAACTAGCAATGCCTGTGAAAAAGAAACTGAATACCTGAGATTTCTGTCTTGGGGTTTTTGGTGCATGCAGTTGATTACTTCCTATTTTTCTTACCAATTGTGAACTTTGGTGTGAAACAAATTAATGAAGCTTTCGAATCATCCCTATTCCGTGTTTTACCTAGTCACATACATGGATTAATTACTAATTATAACTTCAGTTGATATTTCATGATTGGTTTTACTGAAACATTGAGGGAACATGAATTTATGGGCTGCTTCTTATAGGTATAATGATGTCCTATAGTTTCATTCACCCTTAATGAATGTAAAGCTACACTGTTCACAAAGGTTTTCTCCATCTTTTCACTGCTATTTGTCATAGCCACGCTCCCAAAAATATTATATTTTTTCTATAAAAAAGGGAAAAAAGAAAAAAATACAAGGCAATGGAAAATATTAAAAGGCATTTACTTTCCATATTAGATAAATTCCTATAATACTCTGAATAGCTTTTCCTGTTAAGGCAGACCCAGTATGTAATGAGGATTATAGCAACCATTTTGGGGCTATATTTACATGCTACTAAATTTTTGTATTAATTGAAAAAGTTTTAACATGTATAAAAAATTCCCATAGGAATTAAATATAGTCTCCCTGTGTCAGATTGCTCTTTCTTAGCATAACTTTAAATCTTTTCTTGATCTTCAATCTTAGAAAATAGTTTTAATTCTTGTAGTGATGTTAAAGATTATTTGGGCCAGTTAGTTTTAATAGATGTGAAAGAGACCACAGTTCCAAGGCCAGGCCTTGTGTGAACCTTTAAGCTTCATTAAGAGTTTCATAGTACAGACTGCATCCCTGTGGTCTCCCAGTGTCATCATGCATTGATTGGGTGGTCAAAAGTGGGGACAAAGAGTGTTTAGATAAGATGCATCCTCACTGTGTGGTGGTCCTGCTGACAGATCAGGACCATCACTTTTTTTTAAAAAACCAACAGAGCTTTTTAAAAACATTATTTAAAATGAGATTTTGGGGTAGGGGGTGGCAAGACTTGAATTTTTTTTAAACAATGAAGTAAAAAGGTTTCAAAATCTCTAGTGTTGGCTAGTTCTCAACATTGGCTAAAGTAACATTTCATAAACACTTTACAAGTATTGGTCCATATTTAAGAATATCTAATGCTTAAATAATAGATTAATAACAATTCTTTCAGTGCATTTAAAATGTATTTTTAAATATCTGAAGTGAGATGGTATGTTGAGGTGAAAATATCACTGGACTAGGAGGAAGGTGACTTAGATTCTAGTTACGTGTCTTTTACAACTTCAGTTTTGGGCAAATCACTCACTATCCATTTCTTCATGTTAAAAGAAGTCATCTCAAAGGCTATATCTAGCATCAACTATGTGATTTACATTCAGTTTACATAAGGATATACCTATTTGTCAGTCTCAGCACAATCTGTAACTTTTTACCTATGTTCTCTTCAGCGCCAGTCTTAGGCAAAGTTGTGCAAGAGGTGAGGTTTATTTTTGAGAATCTGATCTCCGGTAGCAGGTACTCCTCTCCCACGTTAGTGTCATCTTGCCTGCCTACCTTCTACATGCCCCATGACTTGATGCTTTCTAATTCCCCGAACCTCAAGATGTAGTGCTGCTTTGGATATCTCCATGAGGTAATCAAGTCACATTAGTCAGGCTCAACATAATCTGACAGATACTGTAGTGGGATTTGACCTAATAGCTAATTTTCAGGTGGTAACTGTATCAATTTAATTTTGATCTTTTGAACATCATCTCTGCTACCTGGTCCATTAGTGACTAAGTAGGAAAAGTAGGAATTTTCATATCTGCGATGTGTAGACAGACCCTATCCAGTAGAAGAATTTAATAAATTTAATTAATAAATACTGAAAGATTTCCTTAGATAATCCAAAACTAGGACTAGCCCTGGTAACGGTGATACATTCCATTATTTTAATAAGTAAAATCTTCTTACAATGAAAAATACTTTAAAATTTAATTCATAAAGCTTACTTTTTAGCAGAATTCATTTATTCAACAAATACTTGAGTGCCTGCTAGATGCCAGGTTCTACACAAGGCACCGGGGATATTATGGTATTCCCAACAAGGGACATAATCCCTATCCTTAAGTAGTACTGTTATTTTAGAGTGGTCTGTAGTATATTAGTGAGGCATTTGGCACATGACCCAGAGATAATATAATGCATATTTTAGTTTTGCACAGAAGGGATATGGTCTCTAAGGTTTCTTCCAGCTCTAAAATAATTGTTCGCTCTGATTCCAATAAACTGTTTAATCAAGCTACTTTATATAAATCACTTTACTTCATTATTTTAAAGAAGTAAACTTGACCATATTGTTTTTTATTTGGGATAATTACGTGATTCTGTTGGGATACTTCTATAGTACACATTAAATTGTATGTCAGATGATAACATTAAAATTCCCAAGTGTGTAATATTCTACTTGGTCTCTGTGTATCATAATTAAAATAGATTTAAATATTGAGTTCAAAAATAGTTTTATTTATCTGGGTGTGAATAAACAGATGCCTGAACTAATTCACAGGAAAGGAAACTTCTGTGTAAAAAGTCCAATTTCTGAAATGCTATGCTAAACTACAGGTTTATGGAACATTAGATAGGGTGTTAAGACTTTATATAGTACTTCCTCTTGTTTCTATACAAGAGAAAGAAATGGCCATACTTCAGGAATTGCAGTGCATAACTGAGGGATTTTTAGGACTCTTGAATTTTTTGATGTAGCCGGGCAACTTTTTTTAGGCAGTGGTAATTATCCTTTATTATGTGAATTTTAAATGGTTTGACAAAACGTTTGTTTTTGTAGAGATTTTAAAAGGGGAGCGATAATCCTAGAAATAAATATTATGTAATTATTACGGCCTTAAAGATAAAAATCCTTGTTGAAAGTTGAAAAAAATTGCTAAATTACATAGTCTTAGACATTAACATGTTTGTGGAAGAATGTAGCAGAGGTATGTAGTAGAATTTGAGTGAATATTCCCAATTAGGAATTCTAGGCTCTATTTTAACTGAGTCACACTGCATAGGAATTTAGAACCTAACTTATAGGTTATCAAAATCTTTGCCACCATTGCACAATTTTGTCCTAATATATAGAGAAACTTTGTGAGGCATGTTCAGTTGCGGTTTGCACAAGTTCATCTCATTTGTATTCCAGTGATTTTTTTTCTTCTAACCATTTTTTAAAACAATATGTACACATTGTTTTTTTTGGTAGGCAATGAAAACTGTCATTTCCATTGTCAAACAGTAATTCCTTGATAACTGTATTAATGGTTTTTAAAAAACCATCAGTTACTTTAAAACTGAATTTATATTTAATAACTTCTGTATTAGTATTGGGTAGCATGAAATCTCTATTGAGAAATTGAACAGCATACAACTGGTAGCTGTAAATTCCTTCAGAAAGTGAAAATTATTTCTTCCTAAAGATATCTTGACATCAGTTCTTGAAGAATAGTCATAACTAGATTAATAATTGTTTTAGTTAAACAGTTTTAAGTGCCTGTTTCAGATGATGATAGGCAATTTAGATGAATTTAGGAAAAATCAAAGTTTTTACTTGCAGAAATGTCCATTATAGGGGGCCCCCCTCCTCATAGAGCTGAATGGGTTATGTAGTGTTTTATCCAAAAGTTTCCAATTCCACTGTCTTGTGTTTTCATGTTGAAAATACTTTTGCATTTTTCCTTTGAGTGCCAATTTCTTACTAGTACTATTTCTTAATGTAACATGTTTACCTGGAATGTATTTTAACTATTTTTGTATAGTGTAAACTGAAACATGCACATTTTGTACATTGTGCTTTTTTTTGTGGGACATATGCAGTGTGATCCAGTTGTTTTCCATCATTTGGTTGCGCTGACCTAGGAATGTTGGTCATATCAAACATTAAATTTAAAAATGACCACTCTTTTAATTAAAATTAACTTTTAAATGTTTATAGGAGTATGTGCTGTGAAGTGATCTGAAATTTGTAATATTTTTGTCATGAACTGTACTGCTCCTAATTATTGTAATGTAATAAAAATAGTTATGGTGACTATGATAGTGTGTGCTTCTTGACAGAAATTCGAAACATTTGCCCCATAGTTGATACGGAATACTTTATAAGCTACAGACACTATAGTTTATTAGTGAATCTTTTGCAGCTTATATGTTAGATATAGTCTTTATTTGTGAAAGGTGCTGTGAACATTATGTAAAGGTTTAAGTGTTTGCTTAAAATCATGTTAGATTTAGGTCCATTACTATGTTAACTCATTTAGAAGTAGATGCAAAACAGATCTGCCTTTATGATGAAAGAACAGAACATTATTTATTACTTTTGATCAGTAAAGGTAATTAATACACAAAGGTAACTGATACAGGTGATTTAAGACCCAAAGGGAGCCAGCAGCAAAATAATGGAAGGTACTACATAGGTATGTATGTAATGCCAATCACTGGCAGCCTACTTCAAGATCAGAAATAATCTTACTCCATACATGTTATTTCTGTAACTGCACTTAAATCATTACCATGTGCTATTTGTTTTGTAGTGAACCTTGAATGTGTGCTACTAATGTACCAAATAGGATCAAAAATAAGGTGGTACTCCTTCAAAAGTTAAGGGAAATCAATGTGCAGGAAATTATTTTGCTTTAACTAAATGCATTAAGTAGTATTCTCTACTCAGTGAAATGGAGAAATGGGCTAAGAATAATTGGTAAAAACTTACTGAGTTAAAATTATAATAAGTACACTGTATTTTCATTCAAAATTGAGTATCCATTAATTTTTAATTGGTATAGTTGGCTATATTGCTGATTTTGTATAAAAATTAAACATAAAGGGTTGTTGATAAAATAAAGCTTTCTGTGAACAGAAGCTGAAACCCATTAATTCAATAAGGCAGCTCAGGTATTTTTTACATAACTATATCTTGCCATTTTAAGTTACAGTTACTTTTATCATAACTGTTATACATAATCAGCTGGCACTGAATTCCAGTCAAATTATAGTAAGAGTGATCAGTTAGTTTTGTTGGTATCTGAATAATAGCGTTGTTTCATTGCTCTGTATTTCCTAAGGAAGTATAAGGCTTCTAGCTCTTTCATTACAAATTCACCCCGTCCAATAAGTTCTTTGATCTTCTCTGGGTCCTTCACATCTTTGTTTTTAAGGAAAACATTCTTCAGACGCCTTTTAAAATAGTCTGCTCCTTTTGGATAGTCTCGTCCAAGATACAGCAGCTTAAAAAACAAAGGTTATATGTTTCTAAATGATCTCTATCTCAATAACATGTATAAAACTGGCAACATAATTACTTACATTTTTATAAAGATTCAGTACTTCTCCTCTTAAAGAGTTGGCCATTTTCATTTATTATGGAAAGTATCCACTTCTATACATAACATACCTAAAGAAAAATAAAAAAAAAATTGTAAATATCTGCATTGTAATCTCAAAAAAGAATCCGTTGTAACTTTTTTCACTCAGTAAATACTTATTGAGCACTTTTATGTTCCAGGCACTGGGATATAGCTATGAAATGTCAGGTAAGATACCTGCTCTCACAGAACTAACTTCTCCTGGGGGAGACATAATAAACCAACAAGAGAATTAGGAATTGTGTAAGTCTTATGAAGGAAAAAGGGTAATGAGAGAGAAAATGAGTTGTCAAAGATAGTTATATAGATGAACCTTCTTTTATAGAGTGGAATGAATTAGAATCCCAGCTACATAATGTTATAGAAATTACTTATGAGCTTCAGTTTCTTTACTGTTCAAAGGAAGACTGTCTACATTGCTCTCAAGGCAAGGCCAGATTCATTTGGAGAACACTGGAAAGAGGCCCGATCATACCTAGAAGGGTGCTATCCTAAGGAAGATATGAGAGTCAAGCAGGTTCATGGCTAATGGTAGATGGGCAGTAAGAGTGGTGGTTAAGGAGGACAGTCAACAACTCCTAAGTGGGTACATAGGTGAGAAGCAGGCAATATCCAGTGGAGTAGATTATACTTTACATATAACTTGTTAGTGCTAGTAGGGAAAAGTGGCTCCTTAAAGGTACCAGGAGAGCCTAAATATAGAAAATAATTCTCATTATGTGTTATAGTCATGGGGATTAAATCATAAAATTCCTAACACCATAAGCATTTAGTTCATGATAGGCCCAAAGCAAATGTCCATGTCATTTATAACCTACCTTAAATTTCTGTTATTTCTATTTTCCCAGTGACCTAAGAAAACTTTTATACTTTATGTCTCCCATTAACATAATTATTTTGAAATAATTTCAATCTTGCAAAAAAGTTGCAACATTTTTCCTTAGGAATTTGAGAGTAAGTTTGTAACATGATAAACAGTGGGAATACTTTGCAGTGCCATCCAACAGAATGTAATTCAAGATGCCTATGTAATTTTATATTTTCTAGTATTAAAAAAACAAGTGAAATTATTTTAATATATTTTGTTCATACTCAAAATATTATTTCAATGTGTCATGTTAGCTACATTTCAAGTGCTTATAGGTATCAGGGGCTTAATTGGCACCATACTGGACAACACAGCTTTAGAGTATATTTTCCTGTGAACATAGACTTTTTCCTACAGAACAGTACAAACTCAGAATCAGGAAACTGAACACTGTTACATGACTACATCAAATCCACAACTACATGTTTTGGCAGTCATCCCAAAGATGCCTTTTATAGCAGAAGCTTCCAATCCAAGATTACACATGGCATTTAGTTTTCATGTTTCTTTAGCCTTCAGTCTGAAACAGTTCCTCAGTTTTCCTTGACTTTTATGAACTTCATAGTTGTGAAGGTCACAGGCCACTTATTTTGTAGAATAGCTGGAGACTACTACAGATATTTTAAATGCTCAGAAATAACAGAGTAGCCTGGGAATGGAAGCAAGGGACTGGAGAACAGGAAGGGAGCAAAAGGCAGGAGGAAGTCCTTGGGCATAATGGAGATGTTTATTATTGTGATAGTTTTATAACTATGCATATGCCAAATTTGTCAGATCGATTCACACTTTAAATAAGTATAGCTTACTGTATGTCAATTGTACCTCAGTAAACTTTTTAATGGTGTAAATATGCTGGGAAAATGTTAAGAGTAGGGCTGGGAGATAGTGAGGTAGGTACACATGGAAATAGAGATCTATCTAAACCACAAGGCTGCCAATTAGTGGTCAGGGTATGTGGTTAAACCAGCCACCAGTCAAGCTGCATAAAACCAGGTATGCCTTGCTGGAGTGGGAGCTCTGGGTGTAAATACATATCTTAAATTTTTAAAAAATATACTTGGAAGACTTCCCCTGCCAGGATGGCAGCTTAATGAAGACCTTTTAATTTCTTGCTAAAAAGTTTAATAAATCTGATTCTTTGGCTTCACTTTGTTAAGGGAGAAATAATCACATAGGAACATTGTTTCCATTTTAATTCTTATATAATTCCCCTCTTTACTAGTAGCTTTTGAGCTAATTCACATAGCAAACATACACATTTGCTATTAACATAGCAGAACAATTATTTTTTAGCTTTTTTGCAATTTTTTCTCCAAATTGCTTTCTCTTCTTTATCTGGGTTGCTTTCTTCCCAAGTCTTTCCCCCTGCCCCCCTTTTTATGAGGACAAAAAAAAAAGTTTTAGAAGATCTGTATACATAGTTGCAATTTACAGACTCTGAGCTTCACTTATGATAATCTGAATGAGCCCTTTGTTGGGGAACCTCTAGAAATCAAAGTGTCAGATCATTCCTCCTGGGCTGGTCATTCCCCAGGGAAGAAACTTCGAATTTGCTGAGGATTTGCCTATTCAATCTTAAGAAGTGGAAGAATGGGAGCCTTGCATTCAGCATTCTATATACCAAATTTACTTAATTTGTTTCCAGTGTGGTTCTTACATACTTAGTATAAGTGAGGACACTCCAGTGCAGAGAATAGTATTATTTGGTCAGAAATAAATCTCCATGCTTCTATGGGAGTGAGAAGTGCAGTCCCTCTAGAGGTGTTTTTCAAATAGTTTTCACTTAATCTCTGATTTACTTCATTTTTCATTTCCAATCCCATTGTCTTTGTTCCAATGCCTTTGGAGAATTATGCAGTATAAATTGGGCTTTTCTGGTGTGTTGAGTCACATTCATTCATCTGGTTTGCAGCTCCCAAAATTTTACTGATGTCATCTTCTCTCTCATTTTTCCAGTTTATTTTTATATCCCTTCACTGAAGATCAGTGGAGTTTTGAAAGGGAATGAAATTAGAAGGGTGCATTTTTAAACTACTATATTAATAGCTAATTTCAATTCAAAAAAAATTTTTTTTTCCTGAGAGCCAGTTGCCAGTGGTTTAATCTTATTGAAGAATGGCTCTTAAGAATTACATGCTTTAAAAATGATTCTAAATCTACACAGACATACTGTCAAATTGCAAATTATAGCCTGTTTAATTTTCTGGCAAGGAACACAGCTTTATTTAACTCCAAATTTGTAATTTGTTAAAGCTTAAACTGTCCTTTTAAGCTATTGCCTTTTTAAAAAATCATACATAGCAAAAAAGTGTAGCTGGTTTGACTAGTGAAAAATTGTCTTGTTCTTTGATATGCTGATTTACAGAAATTAAGGCAGTTTATCATTATTATTTTATGTTGTCCTTCAGGCATTTAAGTTTATTAGCCATTCGGAGAAAGTTCACTCCGGGTTCACAATTGGTGAAATTAAAATGCAGCAGGGACCTGGGGCTGCTCCTTAACCCTACATGAAGTTATGGAGGTTACTTGTAAAGAGCCCAACTATTAGGGACTGAGAGAAGCCCCCTATCATTCGGAGACAGTGTGTGGTGCGCAAGGGGAAGAAGCAACAATCACCACTGATAGCTTTTTTCCAATGACTGTGAGCTGAGGAGTTCAGACTTCACTAACTCCAGTCCTGGGTTAACTAAGAATTGTCATTTAACTGGTGGCCAAAGCTGTTGTTAATTATTCCTCATGAAGTTCGGATGGCAATAAAAGCTGAAGGAAAACGGGCAGAGAAAAGCAGTGCAATGTTACTGTTTATTGGTTTCTGGTAGATTTTGACTTCAAACAGGAAAGTGTGTTTTCCCGAATTAGTTAAGCCTAAAAAAGCTTCATGTAAAAAACTCTAACACCAGATCCAAAGGATAGGTCATCAGAAGTAGGTGTCAAAAAATTTTTACGCCTTAAGACTGGCATTTGGCTTGGTCAAGGCATCCTAGGAAGCCAGATTATAGGAGTTGAAAGGAGCATAGTATCCAGAATGGGTGGATACCCATTCTGAAGTCAGAACAGGAAACCGCCCTTTCACTTAGCAGCTTGCAAGAGAAGTCCTAGAGGAGAACCAAAGTCACGGGGATAGTTTTTACAGCATAGTGTCCCTACAACAGTCTAGTATGTTCTTTTTTACACATCGCTAGCAATCCCTCCTCCCTAGGAGGGAGGTGGCTTAGAGTGAGAGCGTGACTAAGTCCTCTTCCCTAGAGGTAATTTCACCCATCAATCCAAATTGAGTTGACTGAGGTTTTATAAACACTAGAACAAAAACTTACTTCCATAGCAAATGGCTTCAAAACTTTATATGAAGTGGACATTAAGATGTTTTTTATTTTGCAGGGGTTTGGGGATGGGGTGTCATATTTTACAACCTGGATTTCTGTTACAATGGGGGTAACAACACCTCAGCCCACAAGACTGGCTCAATAATACTTATTTACTAATACATGTAGTCAATAAAGTTGAAAGGGAGAGAACATTATAAAACTACAATTCAGAGATAAGAAACGGGTGCCAGTGATTTTAAAGTATTCCATGTTGGAACGCCCGGTGGCTCAGCGGTTGAGCGTCGGCCTTTGGCTCCAGGGCGTGATCCTGGAGTCCTGGGATCGAGTCCCACATCGGGCTCCGGGCATGGAGCCTGCCTCTCTCTCTCTCTCTCTGTGTCTCTCATGAATAAATAAATTAAAAAAAAAAAAAGGTATTCGATGTTTTGTCTTGCTAAAACATGGCCCTAAAGTCAAAGAATAGAGATTTTGGAGGAGCTTAATTTCTTAATTTCTTCTAGTTTTCCTGCTGGTCTAAGTTGCCAGTGGTTTACTCATGTGGGGAGGAGACTGAAATTCTGAAGGTTATGCTCCTGGCTGGTACAATCAGCCTGTGACCTTGGGCTTTAGGAGTCTTGCTAGGCCTCAGTGACCTCCAACTGTAGGAAATCCTTTACCCAGGAATTGCTTCAGGTAATTTCCAGTTCTTGCCGAAGAGCCGCCCTGAGGAAAAACGGCATTACATAGCTTTGCACAGAAAGTAAACTGAACCCTGTGCAGAGAGAAGAATCCAAAGGTCATTAATTCCAAAGTAACCAACCCTCTCAGAACCAACTGGTTTGCCTCCCTCCCTAAACTGCCAGTCGGGCCCATCCCCCTCCTCGGGCGTAAGCTGTGGTGGAACACGCAGCCCACTCGAGTGGGTGTCAGTCACATCACGCAGTCGCGTAGCCGCCGGCTCCCTTCCTTCTGGAATCCCTCACACCTGTCCAGATGCGTCCCAACACACTCCTAGTGAGAAAGAGACCATCAGCGTCGGAGGACGTTCAGAACCCCCCATGCCACACCTGCTAGGCCCTGCCCAGACCATACTTCACCGCCTCCAGACCCCAGGATCTGGGAAAAGAAAACGCCCCGGCGGCCGCACTCACGCACTTTCCGGCAGGCCACAGCCTTTACGGCCTCCGACCGCTTCGACTCCAGGATCCGTCAACCGCAAAGCAGGGTGGGTGTGGGTGTCGGGGAGCCAGTCAGGGAAGGGGGCGGGGCGCCTCCCGGAAGAACCCCAGCGCGATTGCGCGGACCCGTACGTGAGGATTTGCGACCTTTTCCCTGGGCGCGAGTGGGCGGGGCTTGTCGTCCTGACAACGCGGGAGCGTTCGTCCACACGACTCTGAGCTCGGATTTGGCCGCCTGCAGAGGTTGTGCTCGCTGCAGAATGGTGAGCCAGGGAAAGAGTGTGTGTGTGTGTGGGGGGGGGGGGGAGGTGAAGGGGCGAGCAGTGGTTCACCCGTGTTAAATGGCGTAATAAGAGCCTGACATATTTTAGAGGGGAGCGGGTGGGTTTAAGAAAGAACCCTGACCCCTGTGGGGAATCAGCCTCCTGATGTGCGGTCTTCCCGTCCGGGATGAGTCGCAAACCGGCGCTTGCACACGGGATGGTCAGTGCGGTCCAGTAGTGTCCTAACCTCGCACTGCTGCTACGTTTCAGAATTGGCCTCACCTTGCTAATTTCTGAGAATGCTCGACGTTTCCATTAAATTGCCTTTTCCACTGGCAGCTTGGCGAAAATGTGTTTTTGCGCCTCCTCGGTAGTTCATCAACAACCGTTGGAATTAATGCTTCTTTGAAAAGTTATTCTGTGTGGTCTTTTGTGGGAATTTGAATTGCTTTGTGATTCGAGTTACTCCGCTTGCCTTGGATTTATTTATTTTATTTTTATTTTTTTTTGCCTTGAATTTATTAAATATAATAAAGCTGCTTGTCTTAATGAACTCCTCAGCTCTCATGTTTTTTTCCAAGAGCACAGACCAACCTGCCCGTATGAAATTATCTCTGTTCCCATTTTCTTAAACGTGACTTCCGTTTTCTATGATTAAAACCAAAGGAAGTAGGAAATGTATTTAATTCGTTAACTGAGGGGAAATACGGGGTACATTCTTTGCATTTGACACTAGGCTAGAAGTACGGATCTAAAAATGAATATTACAAACCCTCCCTACTGTTGGAGACAGGCTAAACAAGTAAGAATACAGTATTTTAACTGTAATACTGAAATGTCTACAATGGAGTAGGATTAAATTGGAAATGATGAAATTGGGGTGGGAAAGGGCACAGAAAGGGAAGAACAATGCTTTTCAAACTGTGTTTTAAAGTATGAATATGAGTTTACCAGAATTGATGGAGAATGGTCATGTGAGAAGAACCAGAAGTATATGGACATTAAGCTGACTTAAAGCTGCTGATAAATTGAGGGAACAATAAGCCTCTAGTTTCCAATGGAACACAAATTTCATCTTATCATTCTAGCAATGTTTTTCAAAATGTTCCTGGAACATTTGCTTCTACCACATGTGGAATACTTGTTAAGATTCAGATTCCAGCAACATCCTGGACTCCAAACAAATCTACTGTATTAGTTTCCAGGGCTGCCAAGTAACAAAGTGAAACAAAACGGCTTAAGCAGTAGAAACTTACTGTTGGCTGAAAACTCTGGTGGCTGATAAATCCAAGATCAAGGTATTTCCAGGCCTCTGCTCCTTTTGCAAGTGGAGGCATCTGTTCAGACCTCTTTCCTTGCTTCTGGTAGTTCTTGGCTTGTGACAACATACCCCCACTCGTTATATGGTGTTCTTTATGTGTGCATGTCTGAGTCCATATTTCTCCTTTTTATAGGGATACCGGTCATAGTGGATTAAAGGCTATCCTATTCCATTTTGATCTCATCTTAACTAATTACATCAACAACAACCCCAGTTCCAAATAAGATAAAATTTGGAGATACCGTGGAATAGGATTTCAATGTACAAATTTTGCGGGGATGCAGTTCAATCCATAATATCTACTGAACCACATTGGGGAGGGAGAAGTGTGTACACTTTTACTGCAGAAATATGCATTTTTTTTAACAAGCTCTCTGAACTTTGAGAGCTACCGTTGACTCTTGAATAACACTGATTCACTCTGAACCGCAGGAATCCACTTATAGGCAGATATTTTTGGATAAATACAGTCTAATACTGTTAATGTATTTTTAATCATTTTGTTAATAATTCTTTTCTTAAGCTTATTTTGTCATAATATAGTATATAATACATACAACATACAAAATATGTGTTAACTGTTTATGTTATGAGTAAGTCTTCTAGTCAACAATAGGGCATTTAAGTTAAGTTAAGTTTTGGGGGAGTTAAAAGTTATATGTGGATTTTTGACTGCATGGGGGTCAGCACTCCAACCCCTGTGTTGGGGGAGTTAAAAGTTATATGTGGATTTTTGACTGCATGGGGGTCAGCACTCCAACCCCTGTGTTGTCCAAGGGCCAACTGTACTCTACTACATGATGCTTTTATGATTTGCAGGAGGGGTTAGGATAAGGACATTAAAAGCACTAGTGAGAGACAATAATTTGCCCATCTTAAAATATGGCTACTTGAGAACAGGAACAGCATATTCTGCTATATAGTACTTTTTTCAAGATGTAAGTCTATTAACTATTAATTGATAGTAAATATGATAATAAAAATAGAACCCAATTGTAAAAATTTTATGAGAGCAAAGTCTCTACTATTCCTCTTTATATCATCTCCAGTGTCCCAGAGCACCCTGTGTGCAAATCACTAATAAATACTTGCTAAATGAATTAATGAAATAAATGTACTTTCAAGAAGATAAAATCTACTGGTTCATGTCAGTTTCAACAATTATATTTAATACAGTGATAATCTTATAGCTTGAACCAGTAATTTCTGCTGGATAGGTCTTCAGATATGGAATGCATATAATCTCATAGTCACATGATTTCCTACATCTTTTCTCCCTATTAGAAATCTTACGAACTCATGAGCCTAATCAGGAAATTACAAGTAGTATTAATTGAAAAACACATGTAATGATAATCCTAATAAATATTTATTGCAATCCTGGGCTTTCCAAAATAATTTCCAAAGAGGAATAGATCTGCTTTAAAACACGTTGCTGAACAGAATCATTTTATCATAGCTTTGCCTGATTTAAATAACTGACTCTTTGTCCGTACAACCAACAATCTAATTTTACAGAAAGATTATTTATTTATAATTTCCACACTTTCAAATTTGACATCAGTGCCAATATTTAGTCAATCACTTATTGTTCCTTGGAGCCTTTTGAATCAGTACCTCCCTGATTGCTACTCTGGTAGCAGGTAGTGGTAGGTCATTTCATTATACATAAGACACTGAGTGACTGTCAAAAAAGAGTGTAAGATTTAAAAAGTGTATAATTCAAAAAGGTGCTTTAGTAGGTGAACTATTTTAGTTTCACCTAGACATGCTTATAGTTTTGTGTAAATTCTTTTTAAAAAGACTTTGTTTTGAGGTAATTTTAGATTTAGACGAAAGTTGCAAAGATGATGCAGAGAGTTTCCTTATGCGTTTTTTACCCGGCTTCTCGTAATTTCACATTTAATATAATCTTGGTACTTTTGTTAAATATCTGAGGTTTTAAAAATTTATCAATCCTTTTGTCTTTTCCAACCTTTAGGGTCCCAAAGCAAAAAAGGTAGGTAGAAATTATTTTCTCAAAATAGATAGTTTTATAAGCACTGACATTGTATGAACAGAGTTTTTAAATTTTTTAAGTTATTTTTACTATAATTTAAATAGGATTTACTAAGCTTACTTTTTAAGATGTTAATGCTGTTTAAATCATGGTTAATCCTTTAAAAACAGGACGTACTTCAAATTTGACGTAAAAAGATACTTCTAGTTTCACAGTCTTTAATTTTTACTTGTACCTAGAGTTTGAGGCTTTATTAGTTGTGCTCTAGGAAGTGTTAGATTAGGAATCCCTTTTCTTTATTCCAGATAAACACAAAAATTTAGCTACAAAACCTTAAAAGTGGACCCTAAGGTAATATATCTTTAAATGGATTGTACAGTAATGCATACTTGATTTTCTTTTGTACTTTGTAGAAATTTGAATTTAATAAAGGATGTCTAGGATGCCTGATTCTCTCCTTTTCATTTAGTAGCTTTATGCTTCAAAGCAGAGATGATAGTATCCTGACTGGCAAGCCATATTCAGTTTCTAAACATATTTTCTTTGACCTGAAACTTTTTTTTATTAGTTGCCAAATTATTTTCATAGAAAAATATGATTTCCATCTATTCTTGAAAAATCGGAAACCTGATAACATTGAGTCTATAGTACCCTGAGGCAGCAGTTGGCTAGACTGAGTAGCAGCCACCCCTTTTTAGAAATGCATAAACTCTTCAGATTGCCATAATCTTGACTATAACCAAATTCCTTACTTTATTTACCTGCCTGATCCCAATAGGAGTTTGAATTTGAAATGCTGACTTTGAGGCATATTTCATAAGGTCATGTCTCTGTAAAATTTTCTACTATTCTTTCTTCCACAATCAGTTATCCTGTGTGTTCTCATAGCACCTTCATTTGCACATACATCAGTTATAACCTTTATATCATTTTATTGTAATAATTTATAATTGTGAGATGTCCAAGGTCAGGAGCATTGTCATATTAATTTTTATGTTCATAGCATTTAGTGCAGTGCCTGGCACATAGTAGAAATTCAATCAATATTTGTGTATCGAATATGTGAAGCCCATTTACCCTGCCATTTAAAAACATCTATTTAAATGAATTGCTTTTTTTTAAATGTGTATTCAGTATTTATACAATTAAACATTTCTTCAAGAGACACTTTTGAGTGCCTCCTCTGTTTGCTTCTCTCAGTAATTTGGACCCACTACTAACCTGATACTGTTTTAAAGGCCATTTGTGAATATGACTGAACAAAATTTATGAAGGCTCTGGGCACATTTTCATGGAAGTATTCTGGAGGACTACAATTATTTGTATGTGGGTCTGTAGTTATTGGTTTGTGTGGATTTTCAATTTTGGCTTTAGATTGTGAAATCTTAGAGGCATTTGTTCTCAATGTGAAAACTCATTGTTCTAATTGTGTATGCATGGGTGCTAAATAAATACTTCTGGATTATTTTGTTTAAGAGTGTTGTATCCCTTAGAGAATGGTGATAGGAAGCCGATGAAATTTGAAACCAAACATAAGGACCAAATCACTCACTTTTTACTTATTCCATTCTTAAAGATTGTGGTTGGGGGATAAATTGAGTCTGTAAGGGAAATTACAGTATAGTTAGGAAAACATTGAAAGGTATATTTTATTCTTTCTGATTGGTCATAAATTTTTAA